TGACAATGGGCTTTGGAGATCCTCTCTCACCTTTGCAATCGGTCAATAGAAATGCTCACTTCTTCCGGGGCTCATGTCCTTAGTCAGGGCTAGAGGGGGGCAGTGCAGCCCGCGTGCTGGGGACCTTGCTCCCCTAGCCGGCCCTGCCCGCCAGCTCGGACGAGCGCAGCAGAGCGCCAGGCGTGGCGGGGCCAGTGGTGTGGGCGGGCACCCACCGGGACCGTCCCGGGGAGGCCTCCGTCTGCTCTGAGGGCCCACCTTAAAACTAACCGGCCAGGTAACTGCGGAGGGCAGCCGGCCAGGAGGGTAGCTGCCACGCCAGGCCCACCATACCCATGCCGCCTGCACTCACGGGGCGCATCGCCCAGGCCTCCAGCTCCGCCAGTCTCCAGGCTGCCTGGGCTCCTGGGTTGGGGTCAGGCCCTGAGAAGAGAGGGGTCCTAACTTGCGGCTCCATCAGACCCCGGAGGGAGGATGGATGGGGGGGACTGGGGGCACCCGAGCAAGCGAGAGAAGGAACGGCAAGGACTCAGGCCTTGGGCCTGGCTGTCAGCAAGGCGTAGAGGCCACACAGCCAGGGAGGAGGTGGTGGCTGTGACCTGGGTTGCCTTGGGCAGAGAAGTCTGGGAAGGAGACGCCCTTCTTCCCCAAAGGCAGGCTGAGGAGGGGGCCAGGGGCCCTGGAGTGTGAGGGCAGGAACGCGGCCCTTTCTCTGGGGCCATCCCTGGGCATACTGCTCTCACGGGAGATGTGGCCCTGTCCCCAAGGGCCAGACAGACCCAGTGTCCCTTTGGAGGGTGTCTGTCTGTGGGGAGATGTCAGGGGCAGGGCCTTCGGCCCACCTGCTTTTGGGGAGCCCCACTGAAGAAGAGATGTGCTCCTACCTTGGGGAACTTTGACCTGAGGGGCAGGTGGTTTCATGTCTGGGGTACCTAGCGTGAGAGGGGATGTGGTTCCACCTTTGGGGTCCTTGGTCTCAACAGGGAGCCTGAGGCCTGTTTGTCGGGAGCCCAGTTTGAGGAGGGGGACTCCCATTTGGGGGGAATTCCTACTTTGGGGGAACTGTGGACCTTTTTTATTTTCCTCTCTGAGGAGTGGGGAGGCCTGGCCTATATTAGGCTAGCTGGTGGCTTACAGAGGGAAATCGGCCTCGGTTGTGGGGCCCTCTGTGAGGGTGAGGGGAGCCCCTGTTGGTGGAGAGGCTAGAGTTGGCCCCATCATCTTTGCCTGCCCTGGGCTTGCGGGCTCCTCCCGGTGGCCCTCCGCATGTGGCTCTGGGAACCGCCTCCCTGGCACATCGTGTGTGAGGTGGCAGGAAAGGGAGCCCATTCCTGAGGGCACGGGGAGGTCGCTAAGCATGATGGCCCAGCTCACCCCAATGCAGAGGCAGCGTCTGTTCTGGGCCAGCCGGGCCTGTCACCTCCTTATGCTCCCGGGACCTGGGCCTCCTGGGCTGTGGGCGTGGGCCCCAGACAGCTCTTCGCGCGCGGTTCAAGGCATGGGGGCCTGAGAGCGCTGGGCCCCCTGCCAAGATGGCCCTGCACTGTGGCTGTTCTTCACTCTGTCTCCAGGGAGCCCCCATCTGGGCTCCTGACCTCCCCCGGGGTCTCTTCTGGGCGGTAGCTGCCCTGTCTTCTGCCCCCCTCTTGCCTCCACACCAGTGGGTTTCCAGCTTGGACGGCTCCCCTCCCTCTTCCGTCGGAACACTTGGCAGGACCCTGGGAGGGTCTCCCAGCCCAGCCCAGGATACTGGCCTCCAGGCTGGAGGGTGGGCTGGATGGGAGGGCACACGGCCCTGCCTCCTGACCACCTGTCAGCCTTGCTGCCAGTTTGCCTGGGACCTGGTTGGACCAGAGCATGTCCATGTCCTGCCTTTGGGCCTGGCTCTCCTTCCTGGGGGTAGGGTCCTGCCGACCCTCGCCACCCTGACTGCTAGGGCTGAGCACGCACCATGCTGCTGCGTGGGGAGCCCTCACCACAGCGGAGCTGGGTGGGTGGGCCAGGAGGGGAGCGGGCTGCCCAGCCTCCTGCCACCTCGTCACAAGCCAGTGGCTCTCTCTCCCCTTGTGTCCTGCTCCAGATGGCAGCTCAGCGGCAGCGGGCACTGGCCATCATGTGCCGGGTCTACGTGGGCTCTATCTACTATGAGCTGGGCGAGGACACCATTCGCCAGGCCTTCGCCCCCTTCGGGCCCATCAAGAGCATCGACATGTCCTGGGACTCTGTCACTATGAAGCACAAGGTGAGGTCTGGCCCGTCCCGCCCTAGCCCCCTGCCCTGGGTCCTCCGGGCCTCACGGCGCTTCCCTGTGTCCAGGGCTTCGCCTTTGTGGAGTATGAGGTCCCCGAAGCCGCTCAGCTGGCCTTGGAGCAGATGAACTCGGTGATGCTGGGAGGCAGGAACATTAAGGTGAGGCCTAAGTGGCGCCTGCGCACTCTGTCTAGTCACCCTCCGGAAGCCCACGGTGGCCAAGCCAGGCTGACTGGAGCTCTTGGTCCCTTGCCTCTCCTCTAGGTGGGCAGGCCCAGCAACATAGGGCAGGCCCAGCCCATCATAGACCAGCTGGCTGAGGAGGCACGAGCCTTCAACCGTATCTACGTGGCTTCCGTGCACCAGGATCTCTCGGATGACGACATCAAAAGCGTGTTTGAGGCCTTTGGCAAGATCAAGTCTTGCACACTGGCCCGGGACCCCACAACTGGAAAGCACAAGGGCTACGGCTTCATCGGTAAGCTTGGGGAGGCAAAGGTGGGGCCGGGGCTCACCCAGCACCGTGGCTGGTCCTCACTGCTGCTCCTGCTCTGCAGAGTACGAGAAGGCCCAATCGTCTCAGGATGCCGTGTCTTCCATGAACCTCTTTGACCTGGGTGGCCAGTATTTGCGGGTGGGCAAGGCCGTCACACCCCCCATGCCCCTGCTTACACCTGCCACACCTGGAGGCCTCCCGCCAGCTGCTGCTGTGGCCGCAGCTGCAGCCACAGCCAAGATTACGGCTCAGGTGAGGGCTGGTTCCGTTGTATAGGTTTGATTGTGGGTAACAGGTGCCCAGTGCTTTAGACACTGACTGACTAACCAGGTGGTATTGAGGCAGCCAGGCTGGAAACTGAGTGTGCTGGCCTTCTGGGTTGCAGGAAGCAGTAGCCGGAGCAGCGGTGCTGGGTACCCTTGCCACGCCTGGACTGGTGTCCCCTGCGCTAACTCTGGCCCAGCCTCTGGGGGCTTTGCCCCAGGCTGTCATGGCTGCCCAGGCCCCAGGAGTCATAACAGGTGAGCCTAGGTGGATCAGGTTTCCCTTTCCGCTAACCTGTTCTCCAGGCATGGCTGTTGGCACCCAAGGTGGGCCAGCCATGGCTGAGCAGCGCTGTGCTCCTTCCTGGGAAGGACAGGTTGGGGGAATGATGGCTGGACCTGGTGGGTTTCTTGCAGGCGTGACCCCAGCCCGGCCTCCCATTCCGGTCACCATCCCCTCCGTGGGAGTGGTGAACCCCATTCTGGCTAGCCCTCCAACGCTGGGTCTGCTAGAGCCCAAGAAGGAGAAGGAGGAGGAGGAGCTGTTTCCGGAGTCTGAGCGGCCGGAGATGCTGAGCGAGCAGGAGCACATGAGCATCTCGGGCAGCAGTGCCCGCCACATGGTGATGCAGAAGCTGCTCCGCAAGCAGGAGGTGGGTGCGGGGCCATAGGGAGCGGGTGGGGCGGGCAGCCCTGCTCTCACGGTACTCAGCTGTCCCCCCAACAGTCCACAGTGATGGTTCTGCGCAACATGGTGGACCCCAAGGACATCGACGATGACCTGGAGGGGGAGGTGACCGAGGAGTGTGGCAAGTTTGGTGCTGTCAACCGTGTCATCATCTACCAGGAGAAGCAGGGCGAGGAGGAGGATGCAGAGATAATCGTCAAGATTTTTGTGGAGTTTTCCATGGCCTCAGAGACTCACAAGGCCATCCAGGCCCTCAATGGGCGCTGGTTCGCTGGCCGCAAGGTTGTGGCAGAAGTGTATGACCAGGAGCGTTTTGATAACAGTGACCTCTCTGCGTGACCTTGGCCCCATTCCTGGACTTGTACTTGCTTCCTCGGTTTTATAGTGATTCAGTGGTGTTTCGGGCCGCGCATGCGCATAAAGGTGCAGGTGCTGTTGGCCCTGAACCCGTGTGGCAGTGGTCCTTTGCTTATTGGCTCCGCAGCCCAGCCTGTGGGAAGGGGCGGGGCAGGTAATGGGGAGCATTGTGGGGGGAGGCAGTCACTGGGCCCAGCAGGGCTGATTTGATTTCATCCTGCCAGTGGCCAGCGGAGCACACACCCCGACAGAAGCAGGGTGGGGGTGGCAGCTGGGTGAGGCTCTTCTGCTTTGTGGGGTCCTCACTGTGAATGGGTATAGCTGGGAGAGAGCAGCCCCAGGGCACTTTAAGGCCGTCAGTTATGAAATCCCGGAGCCCTGCTTCAGGGAGCCCACGTCCCGGTGGGAGAGGAGGCGGTGGATCGCGTGGTCCCCGGGCTAGCGCCGGGGAGGGTTCGGGCGGAGCGGGAGAAAGCCTCGGTCACGCGCCCGGTGCGGCGTTGACCTCGGGGACTTCAGCTCCCATAGTACCCTGCGCTGAGGGCGGGAGCCGGGCTTCCCAGCAGGCTGTGCGCG